AGAAAAATGGCAACCTTTGCACACCACTGGCGGGACACAGATGAACTCACTTGGTAAACTTTTCTACGTATGTATGTGCCTGCTGAGGTTATGGGCACCATGCTGCAGGTGCCCACGCAGGCCAGAAGGCAGGCGCCTGCTCTCCGAAAACTGGAGTAACAGGTGGCTGTGAACTAGCTGACGAATAAACGTGCTGGGAACCAAACCTAGGCACTCTGAACAGCAGCAACAGCACTTAACCACCGGGCCAGCTCTCCACTCTCTGCTTTTAATTTCTTAAAACAAAACAAAACACAACCCTGTATGTTTGCCACATAATCCAGCAATATATGTCCATATCAGGATTTGTACATGAGGGCTAGGACAGACAGAAAAAACATGCTTTACCCATACAAGAGAACAGTATCAGCAATAAAAGAAACACATTACTGATGCACGCAGTATAACATGGGCAGTCTTAGGCATATGCTGAGCCGGCTGTGGTGCATGCCTGTAATCCCAGGAGGCAGAGGCAGAGGCAGGCGGCTGGAGCTCTGTCAGTGAGGCCAGCCTGGCCTACAAAGTGAGTCCAGGACAGTCAAGGCTACACAGAAAAGCCCTGTCTTGAAAAAACAAACAAATAAAAAAAGCATATGGTAGGGGGCAAAGGTCAGAATCAAGAGAATACGTAAAAGGTTCCACTGATAAAATTTTTTTCAGGGGCTGGAGAGATGGCTCACGGGTTAAGAGCACTAGCTGTTCTTCTGAAGGTCCTGAGTTCAATTCCCAGCAACCACATGGTGGCTCACAACCATTCATAGTAAGATCTTCTGTCCTGCAGGCATGGGTACATGCAGACAGAACACTGTATAAATAATAAATCTTTTTTTTTTTAAAGATTTTTTTTTTTTAGAATAGGCAAACCTACTATAGAGAAGATATATTAATAATTGCCTGGAGCAGGGTGTGGAGTGAGATTAGTAATAAATGGCATGACAGAATTTATGGGAGCAATAAAAATGTTCTAAAACTGATTTATAGGGATGGCTGCAAAACTTGGCAAATTTTCTTTCGAAATCATTGACCTGTACACTTGAAATGGATGAAGCGTATGGTAGGTAGAACATACTGCAATAAAATCATTACAAGAGCAGCAACACACCGGGTGTTGGCGCACACACCTTTGACCCCAGCCTTTAATTCCTAGCAGAGGCAGGCAGATCTCTGAGAACAGCCTGGTCTACAAGAGCAAGTTCCAGGACAGCCAGGGCTATGCGGCGAAACCTTACATTGAAAAGCCAACAACAACCCCAGCCACAACAAAACCTACCACACGTATAGGTAAGTGACAAAGGAACTGGGAGCAGCTGCACAGACAAGTGTCAAATAGCCTGCACAGGGTCAGGGATGAGCTCAACAGAACCCCCGCCCCACCCAGTGAAGGCTTGGAGCGGTAATGGTGGGAAGCTTTGCAGGAGGCAGCATGGGGCAGCCCATGCCTGCTCTGACTCGCCTTTCGCTGGAGGAGGGAAGGAAGGAATGGTTGCATCAGGCTAGAGAGATACATGCTCTGGTGCCTGCCTGACAGGGGACCATTGCTTGTCCCCACAGGGGGACTTCCTACCATTCTGAGAAGGGACAGGGCCTTCTCTGTGCCTCTTGGGAAGTAGCATAATCTCTGGGTGAGAGACTGTCCGTGAGCCTCTTGGTCGCTTGTATTTTCCATTCCCAGAACTAGCGCACTGTAACAGGAGGGACCTTCCTCGTCCATGCTCCCTCCTCCAAGAGCCAAGTACTCCTGAGTGCTCAGCCCTGCCCCTGGCCCTGTCCAGCAGAGAGGTCCTGGCTAGGTGTGCTGCCAGCAGCTGGGTTGGTAAACTCCACTCTGGAAGTTCAAGGAACTGCTTTTAGGCCTGTCTGTGACACTGTGGATTCATCTTTCTTCTACAAAAGTAGACAGAAACTTGCTGTCCTCTGCCGCCTCCCGTAAGTGCTTTTTTACTGGCTCAGCAGAAGGGACGGGGGTGTGTGAGTCACTTTCCTAAACGTCAACTTCCGACAACTGAGCTTTACTCACCATTGTCCTCCCCCATCCGCCACACCTGTATGTAACTCCCCGGACGGCCACTGGTCACCAGCAATCTGTTCCGGAGACAGAAAACCTCAGTCCAGACGGAGGGACGCTCACCCGCAGCCTTGCCCCTCCAGCCCACTCAGGATCCCTGCGACCAGCAGCCCTCACTCAGATGCGCAGGCTCACCCTGCTTTAGGGACAGGATCACAGCTCAGAGAGAGCCGCAGTCTGAGCCCACACTTCCACAGGTCGTGGTGGTCACCTAGAAAGGACACAAGTGGGAAGCCTGAGCGCATAACCCTGTGCGAAACTCCGAGCTTCCGTAGGAAGTGTCTGTCAGCTCTGAGAAGCTTGTGAGTACTTTTCCATTCTGCATTTGGTCCCTGGAGCAACTTGACACTGTTGGCTCCACTAATGAAAACAGCTGAGAAGCTACTGGTTTCTTCCTATGCCAAATCTGTGTGAGCCCGGTGTCATGTGTTCACACCTATGTCTGTATACTGAGACGTGGGCACGGTGATAAAAAGAGGGAACACTGCAGAGCATTTCCTGTCATCCCCAAAGAATGGGAGGTCTGGGACACAGACTGGCCATACCTGGTATCTGGCACATGCTTTAGGTCAAAGACAGATCTGTCTGAAAATCCTCCATGGCGCACTTTGAAATCCCTTTCTGGGAACAAGCCCTAAAGCAGAAAGGGGTGGGAGCAATCCGTCAGCACCCGCTTTTCTTTGCTTTTTTCCCCTTTTCTAGACAGGGTCTCTCTGGATAGCCCTGGCTGCCCTGGAACTCAGAGCGCTGGGATTAAAGATACGCCTCCACGCCTGGCTCAGTACCTGCTTTTCATATGAACGCCTCAGCTGAACTCGAGGGAAGGAGGTCATGAGAGTCACTCAGCTGGACCTTGGCAGGACATGTAAGTGACTACATGTCCAGCTTCTTTTCCTTCCTGCCTATCTCCCAGCCTCCTTCTGGCCTGTCCTCTGCCCTTCTCACTACGGGGCAAAAAGCAGTTTAGGCTTTCCTGGAGGAGTCACAGAGGGTAAATGGTTTCACCCAGGAAACCAAGGATCACTACCGCCGAGCGCTCACCCCCACTAGAAGCCTGGTGAGCCCCTCTAGCAACAAAGACCAAATGACCACGCAGCAAGCGTTCCCTCTATCAGGCACATTCAACTCTTGTTCTTTTGTCTTCCTTCTTCTTCTTGAGACACGTTCTCACTGTGCAGCTCCGGCTGGCTAGCAGACATAGCCACTGGCCGCCCTTACACAGCTACTGCTCACACATTCTCTTCCTCCTTCTTCAAAGACTACTCCTTCTTTGCATCATTTAAATGTGCTCCCTAAGGTTCTGTCTGTCCCTGCTGTCTTAATCCTCAGACCCTTCATCCCAGGTGATCTTACTCATCCACCAACCCCTATACCCTAATGGCTCCCTCATGTGTATGTGTGTGTGTGTGTGTGTGATGGTATAAGGATTGAACAGAGAGCTTTGTGAGTGCTACACCACTGGGCTACTTCTCACGTGCCTGTATCTACTTTTGATTATTTATTCTGTGTATGGGATGTTTCGCCTCCATGCGTGTCTGTGTCCCACATGTGCACCTGGTACCCTTGGAGGCCAGAACAGGATGCTGGATGCTTTGGGGCAGTAGTTAGAAAGGCCTATGCGCTGCCATCACTGCAGTGTGGATGGCGCCGGTGCTCTGAGCCCCTGAATCTATTCTTGATAGAGTTAAGATTGCCCTGTAGCACCTCCCTTGTGAACCATCTGACCTTGCTTGGCATTCAGCCCTAGGCACAGGAGCCTCCTTCCACTAGACTTTTTCTTCTTTTTCTGTGTAGCCTTGGCTGTGCTGGAACTCACAGAGATCCTCTGCCTCATAAGCCCTGGGATTAAAGGTGTGCATTATCACCACCTGGCTCCTTCTCTTAGACTTTAAGGGCAGACCCAGAGTTTGTCAGAGATAGTAGCTGGTGGGTAAGAGGCACTCCACTGACACGTACAATCACTTTTCCTATTTAAGTTACCTGGTTTTCCTTCACAGTGAGTCTGAGAGGTAGTATCAAATGAAGAATTTCATTTTTTTTCAAACTTTCATAACCAGCGACCAAGACTCCTGAAACAAAACAGTAACCATGACAAACTGTTAAGAAATGGTGTGGGCCGCGTCTGATTTCTTCCCCACTCACTGGGCAGCCTTTTGTCAGGGAATGGAAGGCTCTCTCTGAAGGCTGAGATCTTAAGAAACTCAGCCAGGGGTAGAAACACATCTCTGTTAGTGGCGGTCAAGGGATGTTACCTTTTTCACCAACCCACTCAAGGACTCGAGTGGCTCCTGAGAGGTCAAATGCATGGAAATCTTGGTACCTGCAGGACAGGGATACAAAAATCACGCTGACCGACACTCCACAGCTGACCAAGAACTCTGTGATCGCTGCTGGCTTAGTGAACCCAGGCTCTAGAGTTAGGTAGACGTGGGACTAAGTCTGCCTACTGTATAGGACCAGGCCAGCCATCAGGAACCCAGCCTTGGCTCTCCTCTGTGGAACCCCTGGGGTTCCACAAAAGTTGATTTCCCCAGGTTGAGATGAACAAGCAAACGAGAATCTGTGTTCAAGTTAACCTAGCGGCCGGCACAACATAAGTGGTCATGTGTGCTAGATCAGCCTTCATAAGCGCGGCTCTGGTCACATTACTTGCTTACAAAGGGCCGAATGTCCCTGAGCGAGAGGCCGGGGGTTAGGACCTAGCGGCCGGTCATGCGGGACGCGGCCCCGCGCCCTCTCCCACCGCCCACCAAGCCCGATTTACAAGCGCAAAGACTCCACAAGCCAGTCCTCCGCGAGCTCCATAGCAACTGTGGCTTCCGCCGCTCCACTTCCGCCAGCCAGACTTCCTGGGCAGGCGCGCGCTCTCGCGAGGAGAGGGCGTGGTCTTCCGCCTAGCAGTGTCGTGAGCGCTCAGAGCTGCGCGGAAGCAAGGTTGATGTTTCCCCGGGTCTGTGTGCAGAGTCCGGGCAAAAGCAGAGATTCATTGTTGGCAGCTACAACCAGGATCCGAGACATCAAATATGTCCCTGTTTAGGATCAAGTCTGTGCAGCCAAAGAGCTGTCAGTGTCCCAAAGCCAGGTACAGTACAGACTTAATTGGAACTTCAGGTGAACAGTTAATTTAGAAGTTTGCGTGATTATGTCCGTGCAGGATACTTTAGGATTTTTTTTAATTAAAGGGATATTATTGGGCTGGGGATGCAGCTCAGCTGGTGGAGTGCTTGCCTAGCAAGCACCAAATAGTTTTCGAGTACCATGTAAACCGCTCCCCCCCCCTTTTGGTGATTCACACTCGTAATTCCAGGGCACAGGAGATAGAGGCGGGAGGATCAGAAGTTTGGGGTCATCATTTGCTACAGAGGGAGTTCGAGGCCAGTCTATGTTACACAATAAACTACTAATAAAGTATGTGACATCCCAATTTAATTTTTATTTGAGGAGGTCCCTGCATACGGAGAAGAGTAAGGACACAGCAGGGCTGAATTCGTGTGTCGCGTTCGTCTGCACCAGGTACCGCACTAACACTCGGTGTGGGGATGAACGGTGGGGTGAGTGTAGCATAGTGGAGGCAGGCTCGCATTGCAGGCCAAGAAACTTTAGGTAGCAGAAGTAAGCGAAGCTCAGGGCTGGCCGTGGGCCTGTGCAGCTAACCTAATACCTGACTGCTGAGAGCTGCCAATCACTCATTGCCTGGCTGGTGCCATGGTGAGGGTTTTTCGAGACCACCCTATCTGGCTGGACATGCCACCCTTCAGAGAACTTTCCCCTTTCCTCAAATGTGGGTGGAAGGAGAGGCCCAGACATTCTGTGTCAAGAGCAGGATTTTTATTCACGACTTCACCAGGGAAGCAAGAAATAGGGTAGGAAAGACTTCGTGTCTGCATCGTCAACATTCCTGGCCACCCAACCAGAAATCACAGTAACACGTTTGAGTTTAGGGTTTATATCCAGACGGGGCCACTGCAAGGATTCCGTCCAGCAGCTTCCCTGGATGGACACATTCTAAGCCGAGTGTTGCGGTTGTTTCATTGTTGGCATCACTTCTGCAGTATTGGCTCCAGCAGGCTCCTGTGCTGAAGGCAAAATGAGAATGTTTGCCCCTGGAGTCCATAAATCACAGGGATATGCTGGGTGTAGACAGAGTGGACAGGACAGGCTCTCAGCTGAGCCTCTGAGTGAGAACCTTTCTCCCTGAAAGGCCTGCGGAGTCAGGGGTAATGGTTTTCCCAGAATATAGCTCCAATTTCACAGGGTAGTCATGACAACTAAAGGACATCACAGAAATCAAGTTCAAGACACGAGCAACATGCCTCGTCCCCAAGTCCTGCTCCAGCCCTCACTCTGATTCGTCCTGCTACTACTGTCCGTGTGCAGTATTGCTTCCTCTGAGATGCCCTGGTTAGTTTTGGTATTTCAGGCCTTTCAAAATGATGTCCCTGGAGGGGATGATATCGCTCTTTGGACTCAGCCAGCCTAAGCTTCCTGCTCTTGCCTCCAAGGTTTCTGGGATGTTTGCTGGGACTGGAGGTAGCCCTTCTCTAAGGAAGCTCTCCTTTCAGCATATGTACACTGTGCTCGTCACAGCGGGGGACGTGAAGGGGGTCAGCAGCAGACGGGTGATAGGGGCTTTCTGTGTGCCCAGCACTGTGCTGCACACGTGGTAGAGATGGTCTCATCTACTGGGAGGTGAGCCTGTTATTTCCATTTGATAAAGAACACGAGGCTTAGGGTAGCTGAGGGATTTCTGAGGTCACCCAGCAACTAGGTAGGTAGGTAGGGCCCCAGCATAGAGTCTACCCCACCCCACCACCTTCTGCACACAGCAGCAAGTGCCAGGGAGAGCAGTGTGCAGTGGGGACAACACCAGGAGCAGAGCAGGGAGGAGCTGCCACCAGCCAGGCAGGACACTAAGGCCTTGGGCACCACAGGTCAGTGCTTTATAACCGGCAGTGATTCGGGTCCCCTTCCCCCTGGGGGTCATCAACATTGATGTCTGAAGGCTTTTGTTTTTGTTCTTCCTGAACTCCTGATCGCAAACCATCCTCCTGCATCAGCCTCTGAACTATCTGGGACTGCAGGCAAGTGCACTGTTCTCTGCGTGGAGGGATCTTGGCGAGGAGGGGGAATGGCATGTGGTGGTGGAGACCAGGGATGTGCTAAGCATCCTAAATGCACAGGACAGCCGCACAGGGCCTTTATTGTCAAGGGCACTGACGATATGACGAAGCCTGCCATTGGTAAATGGACGGGAGGATGGAAAGCAAGCTGGTCCAGAGTTCTGTCTCCACTGGTAGCTTCCCCTCGCACCTCCAGGCTTCAAGGCTCGGGGTTCAGACCGCAGGCACAGATTGACATGGCAAAAGTGGTCTTGGCCAGTAGTGGAAGACAACTGGGCTGGGCAAGGCTGTGTGGCACGGAGAAAGCTCTGCCTAAGGGCTAGAATAATTCTGGTCTGTGACTTCACACTGGGAATGGGCAAGGAGGAACTTTTTTCATGCAGCCCCAGGACCCTGGCTTTGTGGAATCCATACCCATTGCACCCTGGCTAGGCAGTCCCACCCTGAACTCCTGCTGGGTTCTTCCATGCTGGTCCTGGGGCAGGGGCTCACCTGGAGTGGGGGGGCCGGGCCACTGAGGTTCATGCCTAGAGCTTTCTTTAGCAGGAGGATCCTGAGCACTTCGTGACTCAGCTGCAGTCTCTGGTCCCTCTGGGTGTTGGGGGGTGCCGTCCCCACCAGTGACAGGCTCGGGGGCTCCAGGCTCTTCTTGCCCATGAAGTGACCTAAAAAGGAGGTGCCAAGGTACACGGAAGCTAGGGAGTGAGGACCTTATTACTCTAGGCAAGTTCTGGTCTAGACTACCTTTCAGCTCTCGCAGAGGGAAGACAAGAAACGTTTCCCTCAGCAAGAGGCCACAGACGTCTGGGTGGAGGCAAAGCTGACTGACTACGCCAGCCTTTTCTGACCCACCGGAGGACAGTACAGCCGGAAGAAGGGGAGAGAGCTTGGGGCCAGGGAGACCACCTGCCAGGGAAGGAAGTGGAGAAGGTACCTCAAAGATGGATATGCAGAGAAGACAGGAGGTGAGACTTGGTATTCTTCCTAAGGGAAGGGGGACCGCCTGGGAACCAGATTTGAGATGCTGACCCAGCCCTATCTTAAACCTGCTGAGTGGGTTAACTTGGCCAAGTCTGTGACTGCTGGGCGTCTGTCTCGGGATTCCCGCCTGTTAAACTTGATGAACCCCCGGGGTCTGCAGGAGCTCCGCCGCTAAGAGCTTCCAAGAGGGTTGAAAGGAAACTGGGGACCAAGGAGAAGGCAGCATGCCTGTTGGGTTCCCTTAAGACTCACCGGTCGCCCAGAGGTTGCCCCGAGGGTGCACTCGAATCTTGCTGGCTCGGCTGCGGGGCTCCGGGAGATCCCAGCTGAAGGCTGCGACGCCGGCAGCGAACAACGCGAAGAGCAGGAGACCGCGGAGCAGCCAAGAGCCCCCTGCCTGCCGGGTCATGGCTGTGCCAACCCGGCTCCTTGGCACTCTCAGGATACTAGTTCGCGAAGCCCGCCTTCCAGCCTTTTAAACTAGGGCCTGGAGCGGAGCCTGCGGGAGGAGCCGAGCTCGCCCCGCCCCCAGAGACTCCGCCCCCAAGCCCCGGTGTGGACACCGCCTCACTGGGGTTTCTCGCAGAAACCTACCGCAATCATGAGCAACCTGGCGGGTGGCACCGCCCCGCAGCAAAGGTGGTTCTCAAAGCCCTCCTTGGCTACCGACACGGCTGGCTTTCTGCCATCATGTCGTTACATCAGCCCTCAAAGCTTCTCCTTAAAGATAACGTGGAGCAAGAAGCCCTGCTCTTGGCAGCATGAGTGTTTGGCATCCTCCCAAGGAGGAACTCCATAAAAGAATCCTGCCACCTCCTCTGTCTCAAGGGATCAGAGCCTTGCTTGCATCGCGCTGCTCTCATCAGTAGCACACGCTGGGTAGCTAGAAAAGTTCTGTGCCCACAATGGGGATAGAATGATGGGGAAGGGGAGCGAGGAGCTGTCTCCCGTAGTGGCACCTTTGGAGGGAAAGGTGGAGGCAGTGGAAAGAGCACTGGGCCAGATGACACTTTCTTCTATTGTAAAACAGAAATAACCATGCCCCTATACCTTTAATAGTTTTGCATTTTTCAGTGTAACTATTTGTGGTTTGTTTTTCTTTTTGACCGAGAGTTTCTCTGTGTAGCCCCGGGGGGGGGGGGGGCCTGGAATTCAGAGATCTGCCTGCCTCTGCCTCCCGAGTGCTGGGATTAAAGGTGTGCACGCCATGCCTGGAAGTACAGCTATTTGTTAAGGAGCAGACCTGTCTTCCTGAGGAGCTTGTCCTGACTGGTCGTGGAAAACAGCTTGAGCCTTCAGTGGCATCACTTAATGAGCAAGGGCAGATCTGTGCTCCAACCGCTTTAACTGTTCACTGCACACCAACCTTTGGAGCACTGTGGGAGGGACCAGGGAGGACACCGACTCCCTGCTCCCAAGAGTTCAGTCTCTCACTGTAAAGTAGGTCAAGTGGTGTCTGATGGAATGGGGTCTGACGTCTTGGATCCTTTCCCGGAACACTTGTGGGCCATTACAGAACCTCATAGTCTAGCCCCAAGTTGGCACCTGCTATCATAATCTTTTTGTTATGTTTGAGATAAGGTGGAACTTACAGCAATCCTCTTGTCTCAGTTTCCCAAGTATCAGGATTACAGGTGTGAGTCACTATCCTTGGTTTGCTGTCCTTGCTCCTAGATCTAGCTAGCTGAGCAAGGCCCAGCAGTCCTATGGATCACCATCCCAGGAGATCGTCGACATTCTTGTGGATGGCCGAGGTTAGCATGTTAGGCATTTTCTTCAATTGTGCTCCACCTTTGTGTGTGTGTGTGTGAGAGAGAGAGACAACGTGGGCACGTGCATGCGTGCATGTGCACCTATACGTGGAGGCCAGGACAATTTTCAGGGGTCAGTTCTTACCTTCTGTTTTGTTTGAGGCGGGGTCTCTCTTGTTTTTGCTGCTCTGCCACGTAGTTCAGTTTAGCAGGCCACAAGCTTCCGGGTTAGTCTCCTGTCTACACCTCTCATCTCTCCATTGGAACACTCATCACATGTGTTACTACATGTTTCTTCATGTGGATTCTAGGCATCTGAGCTGAGGTCAGCCTTGCTGCAGGAAGTGCTTTTACTCAGGGAGTCATCTCTCCAGCCCACACCTTATTTTTTGAGGCAGGGTCTCCTGCTGAACCTGGAGCTCACTGATTAAGACTGACTGCCAGCAAACCTAGGGATCCTCCTGTCTCCAGCTCCCCAGCACTGGGATTTTAGGTGCTTGCCAACACCCCAGGCCTTTTATATGCTGCTGGGAATTTGAACTCAGGTCCTCATGCTTACATGGGAAGCACTGTACTGTGCCACTCCCAGGCACAGAGAAGCGTTCTGAGGCTATGACGCTGAGGTTCCGCAGTGTGGCACACGGGGCAGTGACAGTCCATTTCTGGCCCCGGCTTTTCCCTTCAGTCTCCTCGGTTCTCACCCCCAACCTGACATTTACACCTCCCTGCTTTTTTGTCACAGCTTAGCCATGGTGTTCAGATATAGCTCTTATCACCTTCTCATAATAATCATTCCCTCTGCGGCCGCCTCCCTCTCTTCTGCATCCATCACACTCCCAGACTATCTCTTTGGTCCATGGATGTAAAAAGCAAGGACAATAGTATTTGGTGAGCGCTGTCTTCCGTAAATGCTTGCAGGACCTCACTTAACAAGCTTCTCTCCTACGTTCAACATCACATCAGAGGTTAAGCTCCTTGCCCAGATATTTCACTGGAGTCAGGCTTCAGGTCTGTCATGACACTTTTGGGGCACTGCCTCTCGCTCCCAAAGCTGTGAGAACAGATGCAGCTCTCCCTAACGTGTGTACTTCTGTCTTCTCACACCATCATCTCAGAAGCAAGATGAGTTCTGAGTTCTCAAGGAGCACTTGCCTCTCTGGTTTCACTGCTCTGCTCCGAGCATGACCGAGGCCTTGAGTTCTGTTCTCACAAGTTCACAAATCAGAAGATTAGCTCCACCTGACACACACGGTCCCTGCCTACAGCAGGAAGCCAGGAACATGCCACTCTGCTGACCACTGAGAGCTCAGGGTGCCAAGCAGCCCTGCACGGGCGAGGCTCCTAACTATTTGCATGTAACATTCATGTATTTAAGGATATGCATATGCATGACAGTTATATAACTCAAGCAATATTTTCAACCCCACAGAGGGTTTTAAAAATGTTTTTGGATTTTAGAGTCTTAGACTTACTGTGGAGCCCAAGGCTGGCAAAATCCTCCTGCTTCAACCTTCCCAGTGCTGGGATGTGCCACACCTCTGACTGTTCAAAGAGGTTTACGGACTTGGGAATGTGGTGGAGAATCTCATCATTTCTAAGAGAGTTGATAGTCTGAGCAAACCAGAGGGAGAGAAGGGCTTTACAAATCGAGGTTTTCCGCAATGGCCCACTCAACTTCCAAAGGTAGGATAGGGAATGGCTCCCGGTGCAGCAGGAAAACAGCAGAACTTTTGTGCACAGGCCTTGCCAAGACGCAGCGCAAACTCCTGAACTGTGTTCTCTCCCAGGTAGAACGGAGGCTACTCCGAGGCTTGGTAGATAGCGAACAAGAGCTCTTCCCTTTGCAGCCATCTCTGGGGCAGCAGCCACCAAAGTAAGGCCCAGTCTGCCTGTGAGCTTCTGCCTCCCAAGCGCTGGCAGGATCCAAGGTGTGCACCACAACACTCGGCTCTACCTCAATTCTTGACCAGTTCTGAGAAAAGAATTCCACAGCATCCTGTTTTTGGCTTAAGTAAGTTGTTAGACTAAGAGCTTTGAGCAAAGCTTGATGTTCGCTAATTTATTTACTTGCCTAACATTAAGTTCTAAATATAAATTTGTCCAACTAGACTTCTTGAATTAAAGCTGGAACCTGGTTTACCAATCCAAATAGATGGGACAATTAAAGTGATGGTTCTAGAGGAGTGATTCTTAATTGAGAGTGGGTAAAAGCATGCTGGAAACGCCTAAGACAAATTGAAAGTCAGAGTCAATAGTGCAATTTAGCTGTATATGAGAAAAGGGTGTCTTTATTATAAAAGCTTAAAAACTGAGGTAGCAAGGTAAAAATATTCTTCACTGATGAGGTAAGAGACTGGGGGTCTCAGACTAATGTGGATAACAGACTTCTATTTCCTAAAGAGGCAAGGATTTAGAAGTTTGCAGGAGACTATATAAGGAAAGCTGAAATTCCCCACAGGTGAGGAGGTGGCCTTTTTGGTTTGTATTTTGAGACTGGGTCTCACATAGCTCAAGGTGGCCTTGAGTTCACTGTTGCAGCTCAGGCTGGGTCTGAAATTCCTGATGCACCTGCCTCCATTTCTCCCTGTGCTAGGATCACAGGCATGGGCTGCCGCCCACTCAGGAGGCCGCTTTCTGTAGATGTTGCCAAACTAGCTCTACTGAGAAACCCGGGAAACAGCCTAGGAATTTCACATTAATCTGGACAGGAACTATTATGTAACACCATAGGGTGGTCCAAGAGTTCTCTGACCTTGGGAACTACTATACCCTTTCTTTTTATTACTTTTTGTTTTTGGTTTTTCGAGCAGGGTTTCTCTGTGTAGCCCTGGCTGTTCTGAAACTTGTCCTGTAGAACAGGCTAACCTCAAACTCAGAGGTCTGTCTACCTGCCTCTGCCTCCCAAGTGCTGGGATTAAAGGTGTGTGCCACCACCCCCTGATTTTCTTATTTTTAAGATTTATTTATTATTTTATTATGTATACAATGTTCTGCCTGCATGTACACCTGAACATCAGAAGAGGGCACCAGATCACATTATAGATGGTTGTGAGCCACCATGTGGTTGCTGGGAATTGAACTCAGGACCTCTGGAAGAGCAAGCAGTGCTCTTAACCTCTGAGCCATCTCTCTAGCCCCTGATTTTCTTTTTATCACATACTATGCACATTTCATAGAGCACAGATATGGCAGTTTCCTTTTTTGTACTAGATACTAGAAAACCAAGTCAAAAGATACAGATTTTGTCCAGGAGACAACAGAATCTTTTGGCACCTAAGGTTTTACATCAGGCAACTGGTTTCACATCTGCTTTTATCTGTTTCCTCTCCAACAATTATTTCAACGCTAATTTCTTCAGTTACAATTTTATATTTTATACATAGTACTAGATTTATCTGTATGGAACAAGTATATAAATCAATGTAAAAATAACCACAACACTGTAACAGGCACTAGGGGATACCCAAAGATGAATACGAAACCAACCTGCCTCCGGGCTTAAAGGAGTCAACCCTCACTCACTCTAGTGGGAAGAGGAACAGAGAAAGCCAGCTGCCTGAGGCGATGCTAGAGAGGGACATGGACGCAGCGCTGGGCAGTCTGGAGCAGGGAGTCTACACACACTAATCAAGGAAAAGCGGAGCCCCATTGGGAGCTCCCCAGAACCCTTCTGTGGTCACAGTGACCCTGTGTGGGAGGTGTGTATACATGCCCCGCCCACTAAGGCAGAGTTCGCAGGGGGCGTCAGAGGCCTTGCTTACTCACTCCTGTAGCTGGTCTAGCTGAAAATCGGGCACAGCAGATGTTCAATAAGCATCTGCTGAGTGAACGAGAAAATGCTTAGCTGTTCCCCAGGTAGTGACCCGCATAGACGAAGGTGGCATGTCTATATGGCAAGACCCATGTGGATGCAGAGAATGGGGTCTGGGGAGAGCAGAGAGCAGACGAGTCCGGAGGACTTACAGTGACTCTTGGAAGCAATGTCTTTACGATCTGTGGTAAGCTTTGCTTGTTTTAATCTCAGTAATGTTCCTTGACTAAGCAGCATTTTTTCTATATCCAGACTTTGTGTGGAAAGGGTCCTATCTGCTGTTTGATTTCCCACAGCCTCGGGTACTGTTTGGTTCTAGCAACAGAGAAGAGCCATGAGGATATAGGTAGGCAGAAAACAGCTTGCACTGGCCATCCTAACTCAAAGGACACCTCAAGGAACGGAGAGAAAACCAGCTGCCTGGAGGCAATGCCAGCTACAATTAGATGATTGTTTCAGGTTCAGCAGTGGTAGAATGATGTCATAGGAGGGTGAAAGCAGATGATGGGATAGTGCCTTTCTCCATGTGCAGAGAGGCTAGCGGGACCTGACAAAACACTAAAGCAAATACCAAAGCTAGAGCCTCTGTGCAACCCCCAGAAAGATACACAAGCAATCAAGAGAGCTCAAGCTCTCTCGGAAGCCTGTGACTCCTTAGGTAAAGTAACAAATGCCAACAGTCCCACCAATAAAAAGGACACGGGAAGACAGGCATGCAGATACATGAGAGCAGAATTAACAGGAAAAAAAATCTGGAAAGGGTACATGTTGCTTAAATGGAACCATGGCGAGAGGAAGTTTTCAGATTCCAATTTGGCAAAGCCGAGAGAGAATGTACTTACTAAATAACAGGAAAGTACAAATCATTTTAATGATTCATACTCTCTGCTCAACAACACTAATCTGTGATAGTATGCCGCTGCTTCCAAGGGCCTGATTACACCCAACATTTAATATATGCTCCTTCACACTACCAGGAAGCAGAGTATAGTGGCTCTAAAATGAGGCCCCTGCAGCAGAAGAGCTCAAAGCCGCCAGGAATCTTGACACCATACCCCAAATCCAAAACACTGTAAAGCTGTCAAGGCTCAGCACCAGCAGAATTATGTCCAAAGATGGTGGGCCTCAGCCAAGCACAGATGAAAGGAGACAATGCAGTGAAAACACCAGGGACAGCGGCATGGGGACGCTCATTCAGTTTAGCTGCATTCAAAGCCTGAACCTCACAGGCAGGAGGGAGAGGCAGGATGGTTCAGTCAAAGGACACTTCTTTGAAAGTAGAAGGCACACCCAAAGTAATTAACCTACAATGCTTGGATCACTGGGGCCAGAGAACATACAGGGTAGGAGAGGAATAAGCATGGACACCACTGTGGAACTCAAGCAATAGGAAGCAGTAAACGCTCATGAAAATGGATGATTAAAGAAAGGTTTGGGGCTTAGCAAGGAGACACACAGGAAAATACAACTTAGCACCAGCTGAACCTGTGAGAATTGGCTGAGGAGCTTGAGTTCAAAGATGGAATGGTCAAGTCAGGGTTTTGAGCCTGGAGCTGAGGAAATGACACAAAGACTGGAGTTGTGAGAGAGAGCCAAGAGATCATCCTGGTATCAAATTCCAATTTAAAGTTTTATTAGTGCTCACTCCTTTTCTAACTCCTTCCCATGGCTGAATCCTCCACACTTCTCCTTCATCTTGCCAAATCCCAAAGAACTGGGATGTCCATTCAATCACTGTTTTCCCTGGCATTTCTTACATTTTCCCTGTACTTTTGTTTTGGTGAGTTGGGTCTCACTACGATGCTCAGGTGGTCTCAAATCCATGGGCTCAAATGGTCCCCCCTGTCTCGGCCTTCTGTGTGGTTTGGGCTACAGGTGTGTACTGGCATGCCCGGCTCGTTTCTTACATTTTAGGATTTATTTTATTTTTAATTCTGTATGTGCACATGAGTGCAGGGGCCAAGGAGACCAGAAGGTGTGGCATCCCCTGGAGCTGGAGTTACGGGCAGTTGTGAGCTGCCCTGTGGGTGCTGAAAACCCAGCTCCTCTGCAACAGCATCAAGCACCCATTGCTCCAATGAGCAGGCTGTCTCCAGCAAACCCCCCATTCAAGATTTGCTTTAATTTCTTATATTTTAAAAGAGCTCAAAATGTTTAAATTTTTTTTTTTTTTTTTTTAGTTTTAAGGATCTATTATATTTTGAAAAAATATGTGTGTGTGCGCACGCTTACAGAAGCGAGAGGGCGGCACTGGGTCCCCTGTTACTGCCTCATGGGGGTGTTGGGAACTGAACTCACATCTTCTGAAAGAGCAGTGTGTGCTGTTAACCAATGAACCATCTCTCCAGCCACTCTCTTTCTATCTATCTAATCTACCTACCTATTTATCTATCTAGTAGTTTTTCAATCTATCTATCTACCTACCTCTCTAGTGGTTTTTAAGACAGGGTTTCTCTGTGTAACAGAGCCCTGGCTGTCCTGGACTCACATTGCAGACCAGGATAGCCTCAAATCACAAGAGATCCACCTGCCTCCCAAGTGCTGGGATGAAAGGCACACGCCACCATGCCTAGCCAGCCTTTATTTATTTATTTATTTCTTAAAAATTTATTTATTAAACATACAATGTTCTGTCTGCATGTACACTTACATGCCAGCAGAGAGCACCAGATTTCATTATAGATGGTTATGAGCCACCATGTGGTTGCTGGGGACTGAACTCAGGACCTTCGGAAAAGGAGCCAGTGCTCTTAACCTCTGAGCCATCTCTCCAGCCCACCTTTATTTTTTTTAATGTGTGAGTGTTTTGCCTGAATGTATGCAGGAATACCATATGTCTTTAGTCCCCATGGAGGCCAGAGAGGGATTCCTCTAGAACTGGAGATACAGGTGGCTGTGAACAGCCAGGTGGCAGCTGAGAACGGAAGCAGGTCAACACAACCAGGTCCTTTGAAAGAGCAGCCAGTGCTTTCTCTGACTGCTGAGCCATCATCTCTCTAGCTCCCCACATCTCTTAGTTTTAGGTCTTACATTTTAGCTTTAACAATATAAACACTGGGAACATAATACTTCTCCCCAAAATAATCTTTTTACTTTTGGCTCATATAGCAAGCCAAGTGTTTCAAATGCTCTGGCTACTTTAAGAGAAATTTAGTCTGTGTTTGGAACAGGAGTATCTAGCAAAGGAGGAAAAAAGAGGCAGGGCACAGAAAGAGTATTAACCCTACCTCCCACAGATGACCGGTGAGGAAGAAACAGAGTAATAATATTCTGCCATGCACTGGAGAGGCAGCTTGAGCACTCTCCAGGATCATGAGAAAACTTGTCTCACAGGCTGAAAAGGCCTTCTGATAAGAGTTGATACCCTTAAGTGCCATATGCAAAGTTTGAAGGATAAGGCTTAGTTAATGGGTTTCATATGGCAGCATTCTTTATAGGGAAGGCTCTGGAAGCTTGTATATTTCACCCTATTAGCAATACAGCACAAGCTGTGGCCTCAGCTGAATAAACAGGATCGGAGCACGTGCTAACCCTGAGACCTCACATTAAACAGAACAGGCAGAAAAGAGGAGTATTCCCTGTTACTGCATATTGGTTTACCCTACATTCTGTTTCCCTGGCAGCTTCAAAATTTAAAGAAAACACAATCAGGGCTTTTAGTCACTATTTCAAACTCTGTCTCCTTAAACTGCGTTGGAGAAAAGGCAAAGCCGGCCACTTAGAAGAATGGGCTTAGGCAGATGAGAGAGAGTTAAAGAGTAGAATGCTGGGCTCCTGCACCTGCCTCATCCAAATGTTAATGCCGTGTGGATACGTGCTGAGAAGCCTCCAGTGGACAAAGGGTTAGGAGTTCTTACGACCAGGTGAGATTTTTCTGGACCTCTCAGTCACACCATCCCGGATTATACACATCTGAGTCAAACCTAGTGAAGAATTTTAAGAGATTAACTACGTGACTAAGAAATTTCCTATGAACGTCAATGGCTACTTTGGCTTTATAGAAACAAAAACCAAACCTAAACAAAAAAACCCATTTGTTAGTATTTGGTTGACCACCGTCATAGCTGAAGGCTTTTCTCCTTTCTAGTTCTTGAGATCTCATTTAGCACTGGCTGGCTTTGAACTCACAACATAGTTGAGGATGGCCTAGAACTCCTGATCCTCCTGCTTCTTGTGCTGAGATATCTAGGTGCTGGGATAACAGGCATGTGTCGCCATGCCCAGCCACATCAAAGCCTTTTTAAACCCATAATGGGTACTAAGAACCAGCCAAGAGAGGCACATGTCAGGAGCTTTCCCAACAAACACAATTCAGGGAAAGGGTTCAATGTGCAAAGTCTTTTATTTAAAATTTTGAAAAGGTAAGACTTCTGACCACCTCAATCTGTGCCATTCCCACTGTAGGAGGAATGACAGGTTTGAACTCATGCAGAGCTGTGTTTTCATTTACAGAACTCTGTAGGCACTTTAAAAGTGAAGCTTGGCTTCAAAATACAAACACTGGGGGCTTTGGCTCAACCTTTTAATATAAAAAATTCACTGATGTACAAAACTGTGAAAGAGTGACAATGACAACATATGAAATCCTGTGATTGAAAGTCCCCTTGGGTGCACTGCACGGTGCACATCACCCGCCCACACTTCCTCAGGTGTGGAAACAGAAACTAATGCAAACCAGTGCTTCCAAGAAGTGCCAACACGTGTGTCCTCCGAATATCTGCCAATCACAGAGCAGGATCTACTCCAAACATCCAGTAACAACAGGCATAGCATCTTCCCAGGACAGCGAGCCGACTCCTTACTCACGATGGACCAGCACAAACAAGCCCAGCAGAAACAGTACTGCGTACTAGAAAACCAAACAGGAGCTCATGTCAGGGACGCTTCCAACAGCACTCACGTCTCCATCATTCCTAACTCGGCTGTGACCAGGGTCAGTAACTAAACTAATTAGTCCTTCATGCATCAACTGTGATCCATTTAACAGTTTCCCGAATTAAACACGAGATCACCATGGGAGGGGGACGGAATCCAGGGCCTCACGCATGCACTATCTCTGAGCTATCCCCTCAACCCAAGGCTGCTTCTTTTTAATCAAACATACAGTAGGAGCTCTTACCTTAAATTTAGGATAGTCATTCATGAGGATTGTCACAATTCCAATATACGGAACAAATCTAGAACGAACAAGCACACAACTTATCATCACAGAACAACACCCTAAACAAAACTGTTAACCTTTACTGAATATTAATTACCAGTACCTTCCACAGAGAACTACTTTTCAGTTCACAAAGTCCACTTCATACATTGCATTTCTTCCTTTCAACAGCCTGTTACAAGGAAGTTAGGATTTTCACCATTTCAGAGATGAGGAAACGGAATCACGCACCCAAGGTGCATGGTTTGTGTGTGGCAGAAGCAGTACCAGACTGGAGAGCTTAGGGCCTCCAGTTGGTATCTCTGACGCTAGGGGCTGGGTGTGGCCTCACAGCCTTTCGGGAACTGCCAGTCTTGGTAGAGATAAGGCGAGTGGCCAGGGAACAGCAGGGCTCTGTTACAGAGCTCAGGGCTTCCCCGCCCACCCACTTGCCCGTGGTCTGCTCTTGGCCCTCTTAATCCCGATTTTACTTTTCACACAGGATCTTGAAATGTAGCCCACGGTGGCCTTGAGCTTATGCCCACCTGCCTTAGTCTCCTAAAATGTTGGAGTGAGGACATGTGCCACCATGCCTAGCTCTGAAATTTTTCTAGAACTATTTTTATCACCACATCAAGCAAACAAGTCTTACCCGCCATCATCCTGTACACTTTTTCATTATTTGATGTTTTTAATATCTGCTTTTATTTTATGCGAGTTGGTGTTTTGTCTGTATGTCCATGTGAGGGTGTCAAATTTTGGAGTTACAGACAGTAATTAGCTGCCTGTGGGTACTGGGAATCGAACCTAGGTCCACTGGAAGAGCAGTCAGTGTTCTTAACTACTGAGCCATCTGTCCAGCTCTAGCATTTGATTTTTAAAAAATATTTAGATCTATTTATTTTATTTATGTGCTTGAGTGTTTTGCCTGCGTGTGTATGTATACATGCCTGGTGCCCACAGACATCAGAAGAGGGCACTGGATCCCCTGGAAATGGAGCTAGAGATAGATGGCTGTGAGCTGCATGTGGGGGCTGAGATTTAACCCAAGTCCCCTGAATGAGCAATTGGTGCCCTTAACCTCTGAACCATCTCCTCAGTCCTGTGTTCACACTGGCTTTCTTTTTCTTCATCTCCTCAAATTGGACAAACCCACTGGGTGGAAGATCTGAAAGCACTTAACACACTTGCCTTTGAGGTCTTTTCACAACTTTAACTAATTTGTTGCACTGCTAATCGCACGGTTTCCGCCTCCCCTTCAGACTCTAGGAGAGAGTAATCTTCATCTCGCACACCCTCAAGGCTTTGTAAGTCCAACCTTCCAGGAAACATGTACAGCTGTGTACAGGTACACACACACACACACACACACACACACACACACACACACACACACAGTTTTACCATGCTGGAGCTCTGTGCTGGAGCTCAACCTCAGGGCTTCACCCAGGCCAGGCACTGACTCTACTGGCCCAATACTGCCTGATGGAATGTTTGAAGAAGCTTTTCTTTTCATTTTCTCCAGGTTTTAAATCTTCTCTCTCCGCAAGACACCTTAACACTGTAAGACTTCAGGGCAGGGCCTGGCCTAGTGGCTTGTACATTTACTCCCAGACCCTGGGAGGCAGAGGCAGGCTGATCTCTATGAGTTGGAGGCCAGCCTGGTCTACAGATCAAGTTCCAGCTCAACTAGAGCTACATAATGACACCCTATCTCAAAAACAAAATAAGACAACTCACAATAACAACAAAATAATAAAAATATAATAACTGAGGTCAGAACAAGAAAATTATCACTGATGTAAGAGAAAAGGTGGGGAGCAAACGTAAATGTTTAACTTTCTTTATTTCCCCCTCCACTGCCCAGCTTCAGAGTAGACTGGCCATGCTGTGGCAGCAGAGTCTGTCACAGAGAGAAGAGGTTTGGCCCAAGTGGACTTCAAACCCTTTATCTCAGTCCACTTTCACTTTGTGAACAGGCCCTTTCGGCCATGCCAAAGGCCAGAGAAGCAGAAATCACCTCCCACTTAACATCTCCACCATCAAAGCCATAGGCAAACTTCAACAGACATTGTCCTTAAGAACTCCTTACTTCCCTTCTCCCATTCTCTTTTTAAAAACTGGTCTTTCTCCCTCCCTTCTGCCACATTCCCTTTACATATGTTAATTTTCTTCTTTTTCTTTTTTTTCTGAAGCACGGTTTCTCTGTGCAGCCTTGGCTGTCCTCGACTAACTTGGTGGACTAGGTGGTCTTGAATTCACAACAATCTGCTGGCCTCTGCCTCCCGGAGTGCTGGGATGACAGGTGACACCAGTGCCTGGCTGTATGTTAATGTTTCTAAACGCTGATGTTCTTAAACAGAATCACCTGGGCCTGCAGCTGTAGCTCAGGGGCAGCGTTGGCCGGGCATAAAGGCATGAAGCCCTGGGTTTGATCTCCAACAGCAACAAATCAGGTGTGGGGTTCACCTGCCATGCTAACATTTGGCGGAGGCCGGATGATCGGTCATTCTCAGCTATAGCAGCGCTTGAGGCCAGCGCGGGCTCCGTGAAACCTTGACTCAAACACACATAAAATTACCACCTACAATTTTCTACTGCCCCAGATTTTCTGAGTAAACAAATCCCTGAAAGCCGCACCCCAGATAATGAACTTGCACACTCAAGTTCAGGATGGTAAGGTCTGACATCAGGTGCACGAAACAGGTATGTGGGGCAAGCAGTTCCGCCACAGCACACCCATGTGAACATGTGGGCTCTCCAAGAGCTGAAAGGAGACAACTACAAAATGCTGCTAAGCTCTGGGAAGCAGGGTATTCGGGCCTGCAGCACTTTTCTCCCTACTGCTCAGGCACACGTGCATGTTAAAGCAGAGCTGCTAATCAGCAGAGTAAGATTTTACATAAGTAAACAAAAGGCCCGCACAACTACCTCCAGCACCAGCTCATGCCATGTCATCACCTAGAGGGTAGCGTATGGGCTGGAGTTGATTGCCAAGAGTGCTGTTAAGGCTGCTGGGGCACCGCCATGCCATCACCTCAGCTCTGAGGGAGGCTGAGGCTGGACTGACTGTGCCTGCACAGGGCTTTACCTTTTATTTACATGTGCACTTGTCCACTTTTGTAGACTTGTTCACTTTTATGGAATGCCTCTTAATATATTCCAACATACACGCGCAGCCGGGGTACAAAGTGAGCTACTCACTTAAGGTCTGCTAAATAACTAGCATTACAATTGGGATTTAAAGAAAAGTAAAGGCTAGAGAGATGGCTCAGGGGTTACGAGCACAGGCTCATCTAGAGGACTGGGTGTGACTCCCAGCACTCCCACGGTCGCCTAACAACGGTGTGTAACTCTGGTCCCTCTTCTGGCCTCCTCTGGCAGCAGACACACGAGGTGTAGACATAAATGCAGGCCAAACAGTCACACTGTTAAGTTTCAAACCCAGGACAGTGGCAAGCGAACCTGGCCTCCAGGTCCTCCTGGCATCCTTCAGCCCTACCTTTTACAGGGTAGGTACTGACTGGCATCTCCTACCCTCTATCTACCCCTCCCTTCCGTACCTCTGGCTTCCTGGCTGTTGTACCTGGTCCTGTCTCTCCCCTCTCTTCTCTTCCCCCTCTCCCCACATGGTTCAGTGTCATGACCACTCTAGCGACGTTCTCCCTTTTATCCCTTCCTTTCTATTTCTTTTTTCATTCACATACACATTAAAAACATATTTTAAAAAATAAGAGAAGGGGGCTGGAGAGATGGCTCAGCAGTTGAGAGCACTGGCTGCTCTTCCAGAGGTCCTGAGTTCAATTCCCAGCACCCACATGGCAGCTCACAACTGTCTGTATTTCCGAGCTGACACCCTTACACAGACACACATGCAAGCTAAACACCAATGCACATAAAGTTAAAAAAAAAAAAAAAAAAAGAGAGAGGCAGTTCAGTGTCCAAGTGGGTTCCATAGTAATGGGAAGAGGGACTGCCTCTGACATAAACTGATTGGTCTGCTCTTTGATCACCTCCCCCTGAGGGGGGAGCAGCCTTACCAGGACACAAAGGAAGACAATGCAGCAACTCCTGATGAGATCTGATAGACTAAGATCAGAAGGAAGGAGAGGGGGACCTCCCCTATCAGTGGACTTGGGGAGGGACATGCGTGAAGAAGGGGGAGGGAAGGTGGGATTAGGAGGGGAGGAGGGAGGGGTTTATGGGGGGATACAAAGTGAATAAAGTATAATTAATAAAAGTTAAAAAAGAGAGAGAGAGAATGAACATATCAGCTTAAACACCAAACAGTAAAGAAAATAGGCTACGCAAATTAAGAGTGGATCTAGATTTAAGAATTTTGAGGCAAGCTGGGAGTAGCGGTGCACAGCTTTAAATGTGATGGCTAAAGTTATGTTTTAAGTTTAAACTGATGTGCTGAAGACATCTAGAAACCAAAAATGCCTCTCACCTGTGAGCCTCCCTCCTCCAACAACAGGTAATTTTCTAGAAGGCTGGGGGTTGTTCATTTAAGACAGCAAGCCACATGTTTTCGAGTCTGTGAAAGCTGCCCCGACTACACAGGGTGTGCCTGATTGCACACAGCTGGGAGGAACAGCAAGCACGGGAAGATGCATGCTTGCTTCTAACTGGACCAAGTGAGAAGCACACAGCCTCGTTGGCTTGACCTTTATAAGCACCTGACTTTTGTAATTTGGTGTCATGCTCTGGGAATCCCAGGGATGGGCCTGCCCAAATTGTCCTGGCTAGTATTTAATAAACTTGTTTCAAATTCGGCTCAAAAACTGTGGTAGTGATGAGATTAACATATTCCCAGCCCTTGGGAGACAGGGGCAAGTGGATCCCTATGAGTTTGAGGCCAGTCTGATCCATATGAAGCCAGCCAGATCTCCACAGTGACACCCTGTCTCGAAGAAACAAAAAAACAAAAATATAAAACAGAAATTTGGGGCTGACAAGATGATTCACTGGGTAAAGGGTCTTGCCACCAAGACTGACAATCTGAGTTTGAGCCCTGGCACATACATGGTGGGAAGAAAGAACCCATTCCTCTGGGTTGTCCTCGAGCCTCTACACTAGAATCTTGACATAACCATACACACTCATACAAAAGAAAGTATTAAAAAAAAAAAAAAAAAAAAAAACCACAGGCCTGATGGGTGCCTTTAATCACAGCAGGAAGGCAGAGGGAAGTAATCTCTGGGAGTTTGAGGCCAGCATGGTCTACAAAGTGAGTCCAGAACAGTCAAGTTACACAATGAAACTGTCAAAAAAAAAAAAAAAAAAAAAAAAGTCTGGGCTCAGAAGCCAACTTAATAAAATACTACACTATATAGTGATCCCAGGATAGTGTTTCATTTCTGGAATGACCTGCTTGGAGTTTAGAGATAAGATTTCATGTAGCTCAAGCTAGTCATGAACTTTTCATCCAGTTAGGACAGGCATGCAACCACCAAGCCTACCTGGTAAAAAGTGCATTTTAAGAGGTATATTCATAAAGAATATATAAATTGTAGTTCTTGATTTCAGTTAAGAACGAACTCACACCAAACGTTTGGAACTATTTTAAGATTTATTATTTTCTGTGTATGCATGTTTTGCCTGCATGCCCGTCTGCACACCTCATGCAGGCCTGCTACTCGACAAAGGAGTCGGTGAGCTTCCATGGGGTGCTGGGAACTCAACAAGGGCTCTTACCCACTATCCAGGCCCTATTTTTAATTTTCAAAATATGGTCTCAGCTGGGTGCAATGGCACACGCCTGTAATCCCAGCACTCTGGGAGGCAGAGGCAGGCGGATCCCTGTGAGTTTGAGGCCAGCCTGGTCTACAAAGCAAGTCCAGGACAGCCTAGGCCACACAGAGAAACCCTGTTTCGGAGAAACAAAAAATAAAAACTTATATATATATTCTCACTATGCTGCTGCAAAGAGCTTCCTCGAGAGAGAGGCCCTGGCCCACCTCCACGCAGTTGGGGTACACACATGTGCCACTTGCATCTAAACATAAGCTTTCCTCTTTATTTACATTTAATCTGCGTGCATTTTATGGGATATCACTTTTTATGGGCTCTTTTCACATATGCATACAGTGTACAGTAAACAGGTCAGGGTAATCAGCATTTCCGTTCTATTATCAAGGCCTGTAGCAAACTTTAAGAGCAGACACTTGCCTGGTACACTTCACTTCCTTTTAAGAACATAGTTCCTCTTCTAGTGGGACAGCTTTGCTTAGATGCTTCAAACATCATTATTCTAGTTTTTCCTTCCTTAGTTTCATACTTTTCTTCACTATAATATTTTGTATCAACTACTTTCTCATCTTTTTCTCCCACTGCTCTCATCTCAGTGACTAACAGATCCTCTTGCATTTTTTTTTAACTTTCTGATTTTCCAAAGTCATCTCTATTAAATATTTAGTTGGTACAGTATTATTTACATTTTTAAAAACGTTATTGCATGCTACAAGAGGAATTAATCTTGAAAATTAAGACAGATGAAGGAAGCCAAACAGAGATGACCACAACTGTATGATTTTGTTTCCATGAAATACTGTAGACAGGCCAATCCCGAGACAATAGGTTAGCGTGGTCAGCAGCTGCAGGAGGAAGGGGAGGAGATGTGACCGCTAGTGAGTGTGGAGGATTACTGAGGGCGGCCAGAACTGTGCTGGAATTAGATAGTGGTGATGCCTCCGCAAACTTACAGATATACTAGCGTCTGTAAGTTATTCTCCTTAGAGAGTCTTATATATGTGAACTGTTTCAGCAACATTTTTAAAACAGTTTGGCTCAGAACCATAGTGTATGTGTACAGTAATCCAGGAAAAACAACAAAACTCTTTTTTTTTTTTTTTTTTTTTTACTTTCTACAGGTAGTTGTACCAGAGTCACAAGCTGCCTGAAAGAGTGAGGCACAGGCTGATTCTGTTTTATAAATACAATTTCCACATGATTCATTACATTATATGTCAAACTCAGTGGGGGGATAATCGATGAAAACTGAGTTACAGTGAAACTTCTGTCTGCCAGCTGCGCATGTCCCAGATGTTTTATATTTCAAAGAAACGTTACTTAATTAAGATTATTACATTTTTAAATTAAACGCCACTAAAGGACTTATATCGTCAAAGGTGAAACTTTAATTTAATTTTTATATAGTTTGGAATTTTAAAAGACAGAGAAACCCTGTTTTGAAAAACCAAACCAAACCATTTACATCTCTATCCCTGCACATCAACAGGTTAATAGTAAATATTGGCAGAGGAGGAAAAAAAAAAAAAAGCAACCCCACTTTCTGACAACTGCTATTTCCTTATCATTCTAAATGTATCTGCAGATTTACAACTAAAAGAAAAACAAAGCCTAAAGAGATTAATGAGTCTGAAAAAACCATGACAGGAGCATCTTCGGAAATGAGGAAATCTGGAAATATATTTATTTCTCAGAGTCACCAATGACCTAGTGTGGACTATGTTTAGCTCCAAAACAGGACATACAAATCCCCCTGTAAGTTAGATCAGCACGCACGCACACACATGCAGACAAAACACAACACAACAATACTTGTTCTGACATGGATTCCTTTACATCTTTCACGCTGCAACTGAAGAGCCTTTCATTCAACAGTCACTTCCTTCTGCACAGCACAGTGTCAGGGTAGGATGGCCTATGCATAGCTGACTTGTTTAGTGCAGAGGACCAGGGGTTCTGACAACAGTAAGAATGCTATGAAGCACCCGAAGAAAGAACCGGCACCCACCCATTTGAGGGACACCATGCCAGAGATCCTGCTGTGGTGGCCCAGAGGGTGGGCGCTGGAGTTTCCTGCCACTTAGTGCCACCATCAGCATGATCTCAGATACGTAACATGGCTTGTCTGAGTTTCCTCATCTGCAGAATGGGAATCTTAGGGTTGTTTGGAGGTTAAAATGAAGCAATACTTAGAAGGCACATACAATGAGTGTCTGGAATACAGCAAGCCCTAATAAAGGTGAGTCGTCGTTAATACTATTAATACATCAAGTAGTAATTCCATACTTCCTTACACCAGTAACTTACAATTCCTGTCCTCCACTGATCTGTTCTCCTGATATCTGAAATAAACAGGCTTAATATAATTTAAAACTTTCATTTGACCTCATCAACTTCAAGACTAGAAATAAAACAATGACACATTAACACAATAAAATTAATTTAGATGAACAATTGTCTTAATAAAATTCTAATGAGCAGTAATAATACTACTCTAGATCCTGATTATCAATACTCCTTGGGTAAACTGAAGAAGTGATTCTTGTTTTTAGAGACGAGGTCTCAGGTAGCACAGACTAGTGGTAAACTCACAGCTTTGTAGTGAGTCTGGCCCTGAATTCTTGATCCTCTTGGCTTTACCTCCCAGGAGCTGGAATTACAGTGTGTGCCACCACCCCTGGCTAACACATTTTTTGTTTAGTTGTGATACGCACTCTCTCTCTTCACTAGTTTTCTACCCTCTAGGTGCCCACTCCGCCCCTCAGAAATAGCATGCCTTAAGACGTGGCTGCTTTGTAAGATGTAGATCTTTTAAAGGACAAAAAGATAACTTGGCGGAACCAGGACCAACTGTGCGCTCAGCTCTGCACTGTCAGTCGGTGAGACCCTGTTTAAAGTAATGTGAAAAGCTCAAGGTGTTCCCCTGGATGCTTACCCCCTCGCTCGCCCTACAACGTCTTTCTTCTCTAGCCAATGTTGTCCTTGTTTATAGAGGCCTCGGTCATCAACAGCATTGTTATCTCCTTTGGTTAAAAACTTGATATGTCCATCTTGCCTTAAAAAAGAAAGGAAAACACAAGTCACCAAACACACTCACGACATTTAATGCCCAGAATTAGCTCTTACTAACAAGCACTGCGTAATCAATCATCATGTCTAATAGCAATTCTTGTGTTATTTTTTAAAGATTTATTTATTTATTATTTATACAGCATTCTGTCTGCATGTGTGCTGGCACACCACAGCTTACTAGAGATGGTTATGAGGCACCATTTGGTTGCTGGAAATTGAACTCAGGACCTTAGGACACACAGCCAGTGTTCTTAACCTCTGAGCCATCTCTCCAGCCTGCAATTCTTTTAACTGGCTAAAAGAATGTTTATAGTCGGACTGTTTAGCATAGAGAAAGATTAGATATAAGTGAGAAGTTTAACATTGAGGAGCCAAAATACTATATAAGCATTATGAACACTGTTGTAGAAGAAATGAATGAAATGATACTCGATGATCATGAAAATTTACTTGAAGAAAAACTAGCATATATAACAAACCTCATTTTATATTTAATATTCACAACCAATTTCCTACTAACATAAAATTCAAAGGACACCTTAAATTATCCCTCAGGAACTAACTGTCAAAGTAAAGACCACTGAATAGCTCAGTTCCTTTAAGCAACATGAAAATTTCTGCATGGAACAAAGAGTGTTGGAAAAGGAACCTCTAGAGCTAAGAGTCTATAAAGTGCAGCTGGTGTGATGGCTCAGCAGGTAAAGGCACTTGTCACCAAGTCTGACAACCCGAATTTGGTCTCCAGAAACCACACTGTATGAGGAAAGAACCAACTTCCCCAAGTCATTCTCTGACCTCCGTATGCATTGGTATAGTAGTGCCTCCCAAATGAAGAACAGCAATTCAACAAAACAAAGGAAATTAAATAATGTTCCAAGTGTCTACTACAGTTACATCAACCAACCGCAGCCAAGGACCTTACCTGACCTAAGTTCAAACACTTAAAGTCACAATGAAATTGGTAAGTTGAACAACAACTAGAAACTTAATAATCTTAAGAAATTGTTCATTTTAATTTATCATATATTTAGTTATTATTTCTATTATATTTAATTATACTCACTATTATAGCATAATTTATTCCCCACACTAATTATAGTTTGAGTTTATAAATGGCTGTTTTATAGAAATTTATCAAAATACTCGTTATATACTATGATATTGAGGATCTAGGCCAAAATAATACAACAGGAGGAAGAAAAGAATGTGTAGTCGCACAGATATGGCCCCATGCTGTCTGGTAGATGCGGACACATGGGGTTCATTAGATTCCACTGCGCGTGCCTGAAAACCTCTAAATCCAGAATCTAAGGGTTAAAATAACAGAGCAAGGGATAAACAGCGGCCACCTACGGCATGCTTTAACTGCACAGTGTCTGCTTTTCTCTCTAACAAGTACGAAGTTATTAGAAAAGCAAGTTTTAACAGAAAGCAAAGCTCCAGTTCTTCAGGTGTGGTAGCCTTCGTAAGAACGCTATCTTGGGCAAGGTGTGGTGGCACATGCTTTTAATGCCAACAAAGAGGAGGCTGGTTGGATTTCTGTGAGTTCAAAGTCAGCCCCATCAACACTGCAAGTTCAAGGACAGCCAGGGCTGCGTAGAGAACCCAACTCAAAAACAAAACAAAGAAAGCAAAGCTACAAAATCTTGTGCGCAATAAAAAACTGGCTGCTCTGGGGCTGCCAGCAGAGTGTCGAGAGTGCTTGGCTAGCCTACACTAGGCCTTCACTTCAGTCGCAGCCCGCACCAGCTGCGCATGGCAGCACAGCACACAATCCTGATGCCTGTTCTGCTCACAGAGAGCTGGAAGACAGCTTGGGCTACAGGCCGTCTCAGGAAAGAAAAAAAAAAAAAAAAAGTCAAGGAATTTAATGCTACTAAAGAATAGCAATTTACAAATTGCTTTTTAGACTTATTTGTCTATGTATTAATGTTTTGCTTGCTTATATGTATGTGCAACATGCGTGCGCCTGGTTGCCTACAGAGGGCAGAAGAGGGCACTGGATCCCCTGGACATGAAGGTACATGTGAATAACAGGAATGGAAGCAGGTCCTCTGCAAGTGCAACAACTCTTTTAATCACCGAGTCACCTCTCAAGCCCAACTTCTGGTAATTTTAAAATTTAATTGAAAACAAAGCAAAATTTACAGTTAATAAAGACCAAACTAAATTAATCCAAGTGTCTTTAGCAACCACAACCTATAAAAAAATTAGCTTCAGGTTTCTAGTGACTAATATCCACTCAGGAAACTCACTCCCAAGATGCTAGAACTGCAGGTGAAAATTGGGAGGTGTTGCAAACACCAAAGGCAGTTAAGTGCAAATGCCACCTTCAAAATGAGGTTCCAATTTAAAAGAAAAATGCAAATATATACAGAGCACTGTAGCTGACAAGTCAATAAGTGAAAGAATGTCTGAGATATTCTGGAGGGTTAAAGAGGACAGGTGCCAGCAGCCACTGACTGACTGTAAGAGAGCATCAAGAACATCAGAGGGGAAGAGTAGGTTCAACCAGGAAAAGATACCAGCCACTCAGTGTGGAAAGTAAAATCCAACAGAAGAGATGGACATGAAGGAAAGGAATGCTGTGGACTGGGCTATCCCCAAAGACCTGCTTTCCCCTGTGGGCTGTAATCAGGAGAGAGTACCTTTTCCTGCACAGCACACTCCTTCCTCATCTACTTGAAGGCAGAACATATGTTCTTCCCTGGTGACCACCCCTCAATACACCTACTAAGATCTGCTCCAGCCAGCTGTGGGGATGCCCGCATGGAATCCCAACATCCAGAAGGCACAAGAGAGGTCACCAAAAATTCTGACCGTGAGTATTGGGGTACAGGCGACCTTCCCTCACTCTGCTACCCTGGATGGCCTGCAATGTGCTGTCCTCTTGACCTCACCTTTCTGGTGCTGGGATTAAGGTGAGCATCACCCCAGATGAGTACCTATTAAATGGAGAAAAACTACAAGATGCTGAGCCAGTCAGTATTAATTGAGGACTTTCTCCATGCAAGAGAGCTTTTCGGGTCCCTAGTTCAGTTTTTTCTCCCTTCTCATGAAAGTTTTCTTAACTACAAATACTACAGACTAGAAAGGACAGGAGTGCAGAGCTGGGCAGAGACTACCCACTTAAAAGTTCATGATTTATGTTTCTGAAATCTTTACATTATCTCAAGAAAATGAGACCCAGGGAAGTAGAAGTTTTTGTTCCCTAGTTCTCACTCTGAGGTGAACGGAACGCTTTTTTTTTTTTGCTTCTAAAATGAAAGATTCTACTCAGAACAACAATTTAGACCATGCATGGTGGTGTATACCTGTAATCACAGCACGCAGGGAGGCAGAGACAGGTGGTTCTCTGTGAGTTTGAGGCCAGCTTGGTTTACAGAGTGAGTATAGGACAGACAGGGTTACACAGAGAAACTGTTGGAAGGAGGGAGAGAGGGAGGGAGGGAGGGAAAGAAAAAGAAATAGAGAAAGAGAAAGGAAGGAAGGAAGGGAGGGAGGGAGGGAGGGAGGGAGGTAGGAAGAAGACAGAGCCAGACAATGTAGATTGGAGACCTTTACCCTGGGTTTCACGCACTGGCACATATTCATAAACCCTACACTCGTGAGGCAAGAGCAGGAAGACCATAGTATTCACTCAGGGTTGTGCACACGTGTGCATGTGGGGTTCCAAAACATCCCTCCAGTCCGGTCTCCTACCATGTGGGTCCTGGGGACTGAATTCAGGCCATGAGGCTTGGTGATAAACCATCTCTCCAGGCTCTTAAAAATTTTTACACTTTAAATTCATTCATCATTATGTTGTGTCTGTATATTGCCATAGAGCAGGCACTGTAGAGGTTACAGGACAACTTCTGAACTTTGGTTTTGTCCTACTGTGAGTTCTGGGGACTGAACTCAGGTCATCAGGCCTGACAGCAAGCACCTTGACCTGCTGAGCCACCCAGCCAGCCTCTTTACTGACCTTTGAAAAGTTGATAAATTTGGGTCTGGCCTGGTTAATTCCAGTATTCCAAAAGAAGTTGACAAATTTATTATTGTTATATTGCCTTATTGCTTTTGTTGTCATTTTAGGGTTTCTCTATTCATCAGGATTACTTATTCCATTATATCAGGGAATTATTTTTAGAATTAACCTTTATAACATGATTTTTAGGAGTTATACACCGTGAAGGTCAAGGGTTTCTTGTTCTTTACAATGTTTTATTATTAGAGAAGAACCTCATTTATTTAGCCCAGGCTAGCCTTCAACTTGCTATGTAAGCAAACAATGACCCTAACTTGTCTGCCTCTGCCTCCCAAGTCCTGACATTACAAGCATGCACCCCAACGCCTGGGTTTCGTATTTCAGTGTTGAGCTAATCCAGGGCTTCATTCCAGTAACTGAGCTACATCTCCAGCCCTCTTTATTAATTAAAAAAAAAAGTTTTATGTTCATAAGTGTTTTGCCTGCATGTATGTGCACCAAAAACAGGCCTGGTGCCTCCAGAGGTCGGCAGAAGGCATCAGATCACCTGAAACTGAAGTTACAGATGGTTGCGAGCCATCCTGTAGGTGGGTGCTGGAGAACCAAACCTGGGCGCTCTGCAAGAGCAGCAAGTGCTCTTTCCTGCTGAGCCATCTCTCCAGCCCCCATCCTCTTCAACACATTCTGTATATCAAAATTAAACACTTCAGACTGTAACACAGACGGAAGGCTGGCATGTACTTTTCATGGATCTTCAGGACTCGATGCACTATAGGAATCTCTCTTCCTTCTATCCTGAAAACAACGATTTCCCCGACTCGTATGGGATCTTCAACACGGTTTGTGAGGAAAAGGAGATCCCCTCTGTGAAACGCAGGCTCCATGCTGCCACTAGAAGGGAACAAAGATGCAGAAGGGCAGGTTACATTTATTCAAAACTAGACATTCAACAAACAGCTGCCAGTGGACCTCTGATGTACTGTCTCAGCACAACCACAGTACCATAGATGACACTGTCCTCAGAACAGGTTGCCCTAATCCATGCTCTTTCATTCAGTCATCATTCACTCACTTGGGGAACGTAGTTACACTCTCACGGTATAGATCAGGCTGCCCTCAAACCTGTGGCAATTTTCTTGCCTTAGCCTCCCAAGTCCTGAGATTACATGTGTGCACCTTCACGCCCAGCTTGGTTTCCCTCAACTAGTAAAGGAACATTTTTAGCTATTGCTCTTAACTAACTAGTTCCATTTTAAGCATTACAATTCAAGGATGCTTAAGTCTTGAAAAGGGCAGTGTTACTAATTCCTTAACCTTTTAAAATTTCAAATGACAAATAAAATGAAGAATGAACTTTAAAAAACAATGCCCTTACTGTGGCTTCATCTGAAAATACTAAACATATTCAAATATTCAAATGAGAACTGGATCATCTTCTGCCATTTATAAAGATAGAGACCATGATGACCTATGAGTTCAACTGATTATGGAGGAAAACAGCTCATCAAGTCACAAAACACTAAGAGATAACACTGGTGTTGTCAAGCATTTCTTTGTTTTAAGAGAGAAATAGGAAGACTATACAGATTTCTGTCTAAAAATTTCAGAAAATAGGAAGAAGTGAGAGAAACTCATAAGAGCACCTCTTTCCCTCTTACTTGCTCTGCCTCATACCAATTTCTGAAAAGGTCCTAGAGTTGCATCTTCAGGAACTCAAACTCCAGTTTTCTTTTTCTTTTTTTTTTTTTCTTTTCCCCCCAGACCTGACAACAAAACCCAGGGCCTTGCACTTGCTAGGCAAGTGCTCTCCTACTGGCTAAATCCCCAAACCCTCCAGTTTTCAATTACAAGAACATTAGTAAAAAGTAAAAATATCAGTAGGAAATAAAACTCAAGACAGAGCCAGGCGTGGCGGCACATGCCTGTAATCCCGGCTCTCTGTGAGGCAGAGGCTGGCGGATCTCTGTGCATTTGAGGACAGCCTGGTCTACAAAGTGAGTCCAGGACAGCCAAGGTTACATAGAGAAACCCTGTCTCGAACAACCAAAAGTCAAAATAAATCAACAAGTAAAAAAAAAAAAAAAAAAACCCACTCAAGACAAATAATGTCCAGCCACAGACACTGCTGTTTGAACAGGAAGAGTAGTGGTTCCCAAACTCTCCTGCACACTGGAAAAACCTAAGCAACTGAAGTAAAATCTTCAGGCCCAGGCCACACACAAACCCATTCACATCAGAGTACCTGGGAATGAAAGACAGGCATCAGGTAATTTTGGGATTCTCCAAAAATTACATCGTAAAGCAAAATTGGGAGACTATGAGGAAGACATGTTTGTTATTTGTGGGGTTTTTTTTAATTAATAATTTTTCTATTACAATTCATTCACTTTGTATCCCAGCTGTAGCCTCCTCCCTCATCTCCTCCTAGTCCCACCCACCCCTCCTCTTCTCCCCCTATGCCCTTTCCCTAGTCCCCTGATAGGGGAGGTCCTCCTCCCCTTCTATCTGACCTAGCCTATCAGGTCCCATCAGGACTGGCTGCATTATCTTCTGTGGCCTGGCAAGGCTGCACCACCCCCAAGGGGAGGTGATCAAAGAGGCAGCCACTGAGTTCATGTCAGAGACAGCTCCTGCTCCCCTTACTAGGAAGCCCACTTGGAGACTGAGCCATCTATGGGCTTCCTCTGAGCAGGGAGGGGGTCTAGGTCCTCTCCGCGCATGGTCCTTGGTTGGAGTATCGGTCTCTGCAGGTGTGGGGTTTCTTTTTTAAAACGTTTGGTTGGTTTTGTTGCCTACGTCCTGTTTTTCAGCCGAGATCTCACACTGTACAACAGGCTAGCCTGGAGCAGGTAGCCCATGCTGACACAGTCACAGCAGCTAGCCTGGAGCAGGTAGCCCATGCGGACACAGTCACAGCAGGTAGCCTGGAGCAGGTAGCCCATGCTGACACAGTCACAGCAGGTAGCCTGGAGCAGGTAGCCCATGCGGACACAGTCACAGCAGGTAGCCTGGAGCAGGTAGCCCATGCGGACACAGTCACAGCGCTCTTCTTGCCTCCCCAGTGTTGGGATTACGGCATGTTTGTTTGCTTACTGTTTTGTTGAACTTGAACTTACTGCAATCCTCCTGCTGGCATTACAGTCTTGCACCACCATGCTTAGCACATGTTTATTCTTAAATCTTTTGTTACAGGCAGGCAGATCTCCATGGGTTCAAGGCCATCCTGGTCTATATAACAAGTTCCAGACCAGCCAAGGTTACACAGTGAGATCCTGTCTCAAAATTAAATATATAAATAAAATAAAACCGTTGTTTAGAATTGTCTGCCTGAGGCTGTAGCTCAATGGTAGAGCACTTATCTACAAGGAACGAAGTCCTGAATTAAGCATCCAGTACTACCAAAAACGTAAAAAAAAAAGACCTTTCAAACAGGGGTACATGCACATACATGTATGTGTACATATATATGTATACTTATACATATATATGCAAATAAGGAGAAAAACAGAAAAGGAAAAAGGATGCACATGTAGAAATTATCTCAATTATGCATAAAATATACATGAAATGAGACTACAATGTTAGCAGTGATTTTTATCTCAGAATTACAAAGACAGGTTCAATCTAGATTTTTTTCTGTTTCACATTAAGGGAATATATTAACTTTCTCTTATTAGAAAAGCTCTTCTTTTTAAAGGTCACTATGACAGTCAGGCAGGAAATGACAACAGCCTGAAATAGAACAGCAATAAAGAAGAAGCAGAGAGGGGAAACAACTGGCCAATTAGACACAGCAGAATGAAGAACGACCCCTAGTTTGTGGCACTGGCAACTGAGCAGATGTGGTGACAGCCACAGAAACAGGAGGCAGGGGTTAAAATGCAGCTGAATTTTACTTTTATCATGCACAGAATCAAGTGCTTGGTCAGCAGTCAGGAGAAGCTGTCCAGTGAAGTGAGATAAGAAAGAAAAAAACCCCAAATGCTTTCAGAATTCACATGTAGATGCCAATTTAAAACACATGAAAAGTAGCCAGAAATGGTGGTAAATGTAATACCAGTGCGTGGGAGGCAGAGGCAGCAGGCCTGAGTTCAGTGCCAGCCTGAGCTACCTGCCAAGCCTGTCTAAACGTAAATAAATAAATAAGATATATAAAGTATGCAGTTGAGGGTAGGAGACCCAGGCGTGAATATGCTTGCATACCTTATATAAAATGCTCCTGTGCAAAACAGGCCCCAAACACTGGCTCAGCAGGTAAGAGCTGCTCTTACAGAGGCTCTGGGTTCAATTCCCAGCACCCACACTCCAGCTTACAATTTGTAACTCTAATTCCAGGAGATCTGAAGCCCTCTTCTGATCTCCAAAAGCACCAAGAATACAAGTAGCATACCAACATACACGCAAGCAAAATACCTCTACACATAAAACAAAGTTTAAAAATAACAAAAAATTTAAAAAGAAAATTGACTAATACGAAAGAAATTTTAAGTATTACAAAGTATGTAGGGAGACCATTTAAGATGTTATTATCACCATTATCATTCTGTTGCTATTTGTGGTGCAGGAAAGTGAAATCCAGGCCTTTCTCATGGTACATAAACATTTTACTACTGAACCAAACCCCAGCTTACAAGGGTCACTAAAAAAATAAAACCGAGGAAAACTGTTTAAACATTAAAGGAATTACTAGTAAATCTATCATCTGATTAAATTACACTTTCAATATGCCAAACATGCTTCCCAATCTCTTCTTAAAATGAGAGTGGGTTTGGGTTTCACGTAGCAGAAGACCGTCTTGAACGTCTGATCTTTCTACCCCCACCCCCCCGAGTCCCAGATCAAAGGCATACACCTCCACACATCTATTTTTAATAGGATGGGCACTCTACACGCACGCATGCATGTGCACCACGTGCGTACCTGGTGCCCTCAGAGGCCGCGAGAGGGATGGCAGCAGTCTAGTCAGGCTGGCTGGAGGAACTATGCAGCCTAGGTTGGCAGCAAACTCAGTGATCCTGGTTCTGCCCTCCAGCTACTTGAGTGACAGCGAGGAGCCATCACACTTAGCTACACTGTCGGTTTTTAACACATTTAAAACTGCACACATTGGTGCTGCCAGGTCTGAAGACCTGGGTCAATCTGTGGTGCTCACATGGTGGAAAGAGCTGCCTCCTACAAGCTAGCCTCTTGGCACATGTGCATCTATGCACGTACACAAAGAAAACAAAATGCAATAAAAGTTCATATATTAGGGGCAGGGTCTCAGACTTACCAGGCAGAGTGCATGTCTACCAAGCACAAAGCCAAGTTCAGTCCCCAGCACCACATACTAGATTCACTGGCAGCATGGGAAAGAGGAGCAACAATCAGGAGTTCAAGATCATGCTTGACTACATATAGAATCCAAGGCAGCTTCAACTACATGAGATCCTGTCAAAGTGGAGGGGGGAAGCCAGGTGTGGTGGTACATGCCTTTAATGCCAGCACTCAGGAGGCAGAGGCAGGTCTCTGTGAGTTCAAGGTCAGTTCAAGCCTGGTCTACATAGTTAGTTCTCAGATAGCCAGAGCTACACAGAGAAACCCTGTCTCAAAAAAGAAAAAGAAAAAAAAAAAAAGAAACATACAAACAAAAAGACCCATAACAGCTTGAGCTATGTAGCAAGACCTGGTCTTAAACAAACAAACAAACAACAACCAGGAAAAAAAAAACAGTCTGAAAGGAGAGGTGTTCCCAGAGAACGCCAACTCCCGTTTCTGTGGCTAGGAGGTTTCCACTGATGGAACATCGCTAACACTGAGGGAAGAGGACATGGCACAGCTGAAAGGTTGGGAGGTAGGCCAGGGAGCACAGCGAGAACTTCTGGGTTACTTCAGATTTCATTCTCTTTAGTGAGGGTATTAAACATCAAGGACTTTAATATCTACCTGCCTGTGGTCAGATACGCCTGGGAGGATTCATGCCAAGCCAGAGTTTACCTTCTGGTCTTTGGTAAAGCTGGTTAATTCTGGGAATAAAAACAAACACTCCCACATGATTTATTATATTAACTGAGATTTCAGGTAATAGGCAAAAATCTCCCTGCCCTCAACCCAGAGATAGGGCTTGGCACTCAATATGTAGAGCAGACTGGCTCCAAAACTGCTAGACCCTCTATCTCCTGAGTACTGGGACAAATGCACAGCTCAAAGCTAATTTTTTTCTGCCTTTATAGAGCTTTTTAAAATACAAAAAAATCAGGCCAGAATGGTGGTACATATGCAGGAAGATTGAAGATTGATCGAAGTTCAAGCTAGCTTGGTCTACATAGTGAGTTTCAGGCTAGCCAGGCTAGCCAGGCTACACGGCAAGCCCCTGCCTTAAATAGTGAGACCTTTCAAAAACCAAAACTAAAAGCACTGACCTAATTTTGGTGAGGATCAGTCAGCTGTAGAGCATTCACCTAGCACACAAGTCCCTAGGCTCTACCCTCAACACTGAAAACATCTGTCCAAGTACTAGCCCATTTTAACCTGGCCCTGAGTTCCCAACCTTGAAGTAGAGAGCTTCAGTTCGTGCTGTCTGCTAGCACTAAGGGAAGACACCACACCGTCAAGAGAAGTGCAGGGTCTTGTACGTTCCTTTGGGAGACATCTTCTGGGGCTACTTGAGAATTAATGTTCTTTAGCAGAGGGGCTGAAGGACAATAATTAGGAGCTGACTGACACCTCTGCAATAAATGGGGAATTGAGAGTAGGAGACTTGGTTTAAAAAAAAAAAAAAAAAGATGGTAGCTGATATGGTTGATATACACCTATAATCTCAGTACTTGGAAGTATCTGAGGCAGGATGATCATAAATTCAATGCCAGCAGAGGCAAGACTGTTGAAAAGGAAGAAAAAAAATAAAGGTAAACATTCTAACATTCTTACCATAAAAACAAAAAAAACAACAACAAAAAAAGAGCGCCCTCTGAACATGACAGGCACATTTACGGTAGTGATCATGGTGGGTTCCAAGGTATGTGCTTACCAAACTCATCAAGTTCTATACCTTTAAAACTACTGTTTTCGGCATGTCAGTTGTACCTCCTAAAGTGAAGAATTAGAATTAGAAGAATTAGAAGACGAAGACGAGGACGAAGAAGAAAAAAAAAAGAAAGAAGAGTAACTATCTCACCTCTAGATAATGGGGGGGGGGGGGGTGTTTCCATTTCCTTCCTTTTCGGACTATATTAGCTCCAGAAAGGACTTGAGAGGTTACAAAGGTGATCCCCAAGTAAGACCGACGATTCAATTAAATGACTGACTACAATGATTCAATTAAATGACCACACAGTTATGTCCTAAATATCAGTGGCTGAGTTAGGCTTTGAAATCCGTAAGATTTTATCAGTGCAAAGATAAGGAAGGAAACGGGGGTGGGAGTGGGGGGGGGGGTGGATTCAGCTAGCTGCACCCAAAAGACCGGATTATTACCTTCAAAATTCCTGGAGTCTAGATGAGAAATAATATTCAAAGGTCAACAGAAAATATAGAAGTACTTAGTGATGCTTCTAGCACTGAAAACCTGATGCAGGAGAACCCTTCTGTGGAGGCGCCCAACAGCCTAAGGAACTAAGTCCCAGGCCTCACATCCCCAAGGGAGAAGATGCAGGACAGAAGAACCCAGGAAATACAGCACAGTGACCACAGTACACTTCCTTGGGGGATGAGCCAGAAACACAAGTTCATAACAACCTTTTCTGCTGTTGTTTTCAGATGGGGTTCTCAGGGGGCCCAGGTGGCCCCTGAAATTAGCTAAGCCTGGCTCTGAACACCTGATCCTCCTGCCTCTGATTCCTGAGTGCTGGGATTGCAGGCCTGTGCCACCACCTCCAGCACACAGCAACCTCTGAATAGAAAGGATGTTGGGGTTGGGAGTGCTGGCTGGAGAAATAGCTCGGGAGTTGAGGACACAGGGCTCTTACAGAGGACCTGAGTTTGATACGCCTGTCATGTCGGGCAACTCATAGCCCCCTGAATGTCTTCTGGCCTCCATGGACACCCGAATTCGCATGTGGACACCCGCATTCACATGCACACCCCCCCACACAGACACAGAGACGTGTAATCACAAACAACCTGTTTTTAAAGAAGAGTATATGGGTCCTTGGGGGAATGGATGGAAAGGCCTCCCATGGTATTTCTCACAACCCAGTAGTAAGCGATCTCCTTCTAGGCTTTGTCCTAGGTACCAGTTTCTAAAGAACTTAGACACAGCTACTCTCTCTTTTTTAATTTTAATTTTTCTTTTTTATATTAATTACAGTTTATTCACTTTGTATCCCAGCTGTAGCCCCTTCCCTCATTCCCTCCCAATCCCACCCTTCCTCCCTCATCTCCTCCCATAGTCTATCAGATTTCATCAGGAGTGGCTGCACTGTCCTCCTCTGAGCCTGATAAGGCTGCTCCCCCATCAGGGGGAGGTGATCCAAGAGCCAGCCACTGAGTTCATGTCAGGGACGGTCCCTGTTCCCCTTACTAGGGTACCCACTTAGATACTGAGCTTCCATGGGCTACATCTATGCAGGGGTTCTAGGTTATCTGCATGCATGGTCCTTGGTGGGAGTACCAGTCTCAGAAAGGACCCCTGGGCTTAGATTTTTTTGGTTTTGTTGCTCTCCTTATGGAGCTCCAGTGCCCTCCAGGTCCTTGGGGGAATGGGTAGAAAGGCCTCCCATGGTATTTCTCACAAGTGAGTAGCAACTGATCCTATGTACTAGTTTCTAAGGAGCTGGTAGACAGCTACCTTTTTTTTTTTTTTTAAAGATTTTTTTATTATGTATACAGTGCTCTGTCTTCATGTACACCTACACACCAGAAAGCACCAGATCTCATTTTTAGATGGTTGTGAGCTACCACGTGGTTGCTGGAACTTGAACTCAGGATCTCGAGCAAGAGCAGCCAATGCTCTTAACCTCTGAGTCATCTCTCCAGCCCCACAGCTACTCTTTTAATACCCCTATTTTCTCCCACGCCATCCCATGCAATTCTATGTCCTGAAAATTAAGAGTGTTACCTGAGCACCACTACAATTGGACTCTCACTTCCGGTTATCACCATCAGCCCCTTCCAGATCATTAGTGCCGAGGAAACAATCATTCCAAAATTTAGGACTTGGTAGTACAGCTGTAAGAACAAAGAGAAGAAATCAGATCCACTATTATTCTCTGTAATGGACGTTCTGGTTTCTTTAAAAACTCAGTTGCATTATATAAATATGCTTTTGTTTTAATCCCAAGTGTGGGATTTTAGTTTGGGCTTTAGTCTGTCCACAGGTGATAATTGCCTTGGTGGGGCATGGTCTTTGCCAGCTGGCAGCAGCCTACCTGGTGTGGCACAGAGAGGGGGAGTGGTCTAGGACTCTGAGAGATGTAAATATTAGAGCTCAGAAAGAGAAGGTGTGGCAGTTTGGAGAGGCAAGAGATGGATGGTGTGGTGGTCTGGAGAGACACTGAAGAGACACTTTGTGGTACAGAGGCTTGTCGGGACAGATGGAGGAGATTGCCTGCTGCGCTTGTTGCTGATGGAGATTGGTATAGGCCCCCCAATCCCACTGACCCTTAACTGCTAGGAGAAATAAAGGGGTCTGTGCCTCCTCTCCCCACTAACCTTCCCTCTCTCACCTGGGGTAACAGGGTTAATAGAAGGAAATAAATACCCCAAATAATGTAAGAGTTTAAAAACAAGCACAAGAGATTCTCACTCGGGAAAGTAAATGATAGTAGCTATTAATTTGGAAGGTTCGGGCTGGAGAGGAAGATTGCTGTCATGGGGTAACTTTGAGCCTCCAGCTCCACAGTGCTGGACGAGCCTTATCATATCCATTTATGCACTACTGTGGGCATGCTAGGCAAGCCCTTTACCCACTGAGCCAGCCCCAAGTCATCCTGGAGGTGGGGTCTCACTGTATAGTCCAGGTGGCCTGGAACTGGCATTCTTCCTGCCAAACGCTAAGGTTGCAGACATGCTCCACCTTGCCTAGCTGAAAGGAGCTTAAAAGTTAATTCTCTCTTTTATAAAAAAAAAAAAAAAAAGTATCCATTTATTACTTTATTTTATGCTCATTTGAAATTTGGCCTACATGTATGTCTATGTGAAGGAGTTAGATCCGCTGGAACTTGTGTTATAGACACTTGTGAGCTGCCATTTAGGTGCTGGAAACTGAACCCCAGTCTTCTGGAAGAGCAGTCAATGAATGTTTTAACTACTGAGCCATCTCTCCAGCCACCATCCTCTACCCCTGCATTTTTTTAAAATTTGAGAAGTCTCATGAAGCCCAGGCTAACCCTTTAAGCTTCTTTTCAGTTTCCCAGTGCTGGATGACATGTGGGTGGCATGGTCAGTGTTTTCACAGGTTTAATAATATTCTTTGATAGTTTGACTTTGAACAATGAGGGTCTGGTTATTTGAACATACTGGTCTAGTCATTTCTTAGAAAAGGCAATTCAATTCTGTGGTTGTACAGAGCAACAAAAGAAAATAGCTATGACTATGTGATCAATTACAGAAACAAAAGTTACATTCTATCAGAAACCTAACTGCGTTCATCTTTATGTGAGAGTTATGATCAAAATAGGTACTAGATGCCAAGGTGACAAAGGGCAGCAGGCTACAACAGCTTTGTACTCTGCTAATTTGGGCAAATCAGCACAGCTTCCATGTCTCCTTGGCTGAATGGTTCTGAATTAAATTTGCCCCAAAAGGGCCGTCCGGTAGCTCTGGAAGGTGGAAGGGAAGCTGTGATCATGTCTGAAGGTCACAGTGGTTACAGGGAGTGAGGACACTTGTCGAGTCCCCTGCTTTCCCTAGGTCTACCTCTTCTGTTCTCCTTTGAGGCCCTACTCCAGCAGGCACAGACAGACTCAGATTCAGTGACAAGTGTGGCCTCACCCACCTGCACACACCAGCCATTCAGAAGAGCTGGTCGGTGACAATTTTCTCCTGAGACAGAGGATCATTATGTAGCACAGGCTGGCCTTGAACATGGTAACCCTCCTGCTGCAGAATGATGAAGATTACAGGAGTGGCCACTGTGCCTAGTAATGACATTTGGATTCTCTACGCCAAAACCTAGAGTCACCGGAAAAGTGAGTGTCAACCGAGGAACTACCTAGGTCAGACTGGCATGTGGGAGGGCCTGTGGAAGGTTGTCTTGACTGATAATCGACCCAGACCACTGTGGGCAGCACCTTCCCCTGGGCCGCGGATCCTGGGCTGCAGAAGGGTAGAGGGGCTGGCTGAGAATGAGCAGGTTGCGTGGGTACATTTGATTCTCTCCGCTCCTGACTGTGGATACGGTGTGATTAGCTGCTTAAGGTCTGGCCTTGCCTTCTCAGTGATGAACAGTAACCTGGAACTAGAAAGCAAATGAAGTCTTCTACATCACTTTTCTGTCAGGGTGTTTTAATCACAGCAACAGAAATAAAACTAGAACACTGTGTTTTCCAGGCAGTTTCTGTCCATGTGTTCAGGCTCTGTTCTCCTTGAAGACAACCCTTGAGGAAGCGCTACACTGCTCTTCTTCCATATTCACATCTGCTTGTGGGAATAAATAATGTTTTTAGGTCCACGGAGAGGACAGTATTAAGATGCAGAATATCAAGGAACAGTGACAAAAACTTCACTAAGCACTGTCCGCTGGATTTCCCGGTTTCAAAAACAGTGATTTCTGGATGTTCATGAATGCAACTGTGGGTGGAAAGTGCAAATTAAAATAAAATCCCACTTATGATTTCCCTATGTTGCACCAGGAACTGCCTCTCCAAGAGTTAAGGAATATTGACACCATCCCTCTAATATAGCTTTTCCTAATCCTATGCAATTATCAAAATCATTTTCAATAATAAAAAAAAAAAGTAACCAGTAGCTGGGCATAGTACACACGCTTTTATTTCCAGCACCCAGGAGGCAATCTCTGTGAGTTCAAGGCTAGCCTGGCCTACAAACTGAGTTTCAGGACAGCCAGGGCTACACAGTGAGACCCTGTCTCAAAAGTCACCAAAAAAAAAAAAAAAAAAGAACGAAGTAGAGAAAGAAAAACAAGCAAGCATGGTGGCACATCCCTCTGATCCCAGCTACTCAGGAAGCTGAAAAAAAGGATCCTAAATTTCAGGGAGCCTAGGCATCTCAGGGAAACTGCCGTCTCAACATAACAGAAAAATAGAAAGTGTAGCTCAGTGAAAGAACAGTCACCCAACAAGCCCACAGCCCTAAACTGACTCCTTAGTACCAGGGCAGGGAAAGTAGCGTGTACTCTGTGAAGTACCCATCGCCATTCACTGCAGTTACTCATATCAGGCAGGTATCTAGGGAATCACCAAGCTTCTAGGTTCTTCCCTAAGGGTCAATCCACTAACAACAGCAACTGAAAGCTGTTATTTTGAGTTCAAATATCTATTTTGGTAGCAATTACGAGTTGAATAATCATGTCAGGCTCCATGGAGCATGCAAGTAATCCCAGTTTGAGGCCAGCCTGGTCTACAAAGTGAGTCCAGGACAGCCAAGGCTGCACAAAGAAGCCGTGTCTCAAAAAAAAAAAAAAAAAAAAAAAGATTGGTGGCAGCACATGTACTTGAGACAGAAGCAGGCAGATCTTGTGAGTTCCAGACAACCAGGGCTACACAGAGAAACCTTGTATGTGGGCAAGACAGAGCCAGGAATCCTAAGATGCAAGCAATATAAGACTTTAAGTCTTAAGGATTGTACACACGTCAGACAAGGTGGGGCACACCTTCACAGCAGCATTCAGGAGACGGATCTCTGTGCGTTCCAGGACAGCCACGGCTACGGAGTGATAGCCTGTCTTGGGTAAGAATGCAAAGAAGAGGAGCACAGTGGCCAATGAGGGATTTCGGGACTTAGGAAGTAGGAGGATCAGGAGCTTAAAGTCAGCCTCGACTATACAGAGAATCTTTAAGCAGCCTGGGCACATAAAAACCTATCTTTCAAACAAAGCAAACAAACAAAAAGCTTCAGGGACTCCAATAGACACCTGTGTAGTGCATACACGCTCTTCAGGCAACAAAACAGTGCAAAGAGAAAAGATGGCCTATCGGGGAGTTAAGCAACTCCAATGAGTCAGATTGACATGGATCAAGTTACATCACGGCCAACACCCCTGAGTCAATAAGAAATCTCAAACAGGGCCAAGCACGGGACTCATGTTTTTAATCCTAGCACCTGGGGAATGGAGGCAGGAGAATAACTAAGATTCACCGAGAATCACCAAGCCTGCTCTACAGAGAGAATTACAAGCCAGCCCGGGCTACAGAGTGAGACCCTGTCTCAAAGATACAGAGAATTCTCTCTCTCTCTCTCTCTCTCTCTCTCTCTCACACACACACACACACACACACACACTATCAAAACCCCACAAAGTCTGTTGAATAATCAAAGTTCTCAGATGGTATTTTTATACAATTTATTTAATGTGCATTAGTGTGAGAGTGTCAGATCCCTTGGAATTGGCATTACAGACAGTTGTGAGCTGCCATGTGGGTGCCAGGAATTGAACCTGGGTCCTTCAGAAGAGCAGACAGTACTCTTAATCACTGAGCCATCTCTCAAGCCCCAACTTATTTAATTTTATTCTCTGTGCATTGGTATGAGAATCCGTGGAACTGGAGTTACAGAGAGTTGTGAGCTGCCAAGTGGGTGCTGGGAAATGAACCCAGGCCCTCTGGAAGAGTAGACAGTACTCTTAACCACTAAGCCATCCCTCCAGCCTCATGGCATTTTTTTTTTTTTTTTTTAATGAGATTTTTTTTTCAAAAGGTGTGTTTGGGGGGGGGGGGGGGGGCAGGTAAATCCTAAAAAGAGAAAATTAATCCCTATTGCTGAAGATACCATGTACTCTGGATACGAAGCCCCGAGACCCCGCACTGAATCTGACTTGAAAGGTCCCTCCCTGAAACTAACTTCCTTGGTACCAGAAGGTACTACACAAGCTTCCAAAGGATGGAAGTAACCAACAGTCCTAGCCTGTTACAATACCCATGAACCACAACAATGACCTCCACGGTACAATAACCTTAAAGGCACAGCAGTGGCACACATACCTTCGAGGTAACCAACAGCTCTCTGATTGGACTTCTGGCCTGCTCAACAAGAGGGAAATCACAACTGAT